TGTTTAGCAAAGGGTGGGTTAGAGGAGACGTACTCGTGCAACTCGACCCCTCTCGGCCTTCAAGCAAAGGTCTGTTCACACACTGTTTTCCAATGCTGCCATTTATAGATTGGCCCATGCAGTTTGTTTGTGACTGAAACTGATGCCTGCTCTGCTGTGGGGTAAAATATGAAATGAACAAAATTACTTTTCACGAAATATCTTAATTAAAGATAATGAAAAAAGTACTTTTATTAAGTACTTATTCAAATTACTAGCTTACAACATTAGACTCACTGTAAGTTTGCTTTATCTATCAAGTGATTTATTTAATGTTTCATGTATTTGGTTTTCCTTTTTTTGAGAGAGAGAGAGAGAGAGTAGCTAATAATTAATAAAAAAAAGTGTAAAACTTTAGTAATTTAATCAGTAAATTACTAGAAATTAATGTTAAACTTTTTTCTGTTCAGCTACCATCACCCAATTCAACAAAATTCTCTTAAAAATTAATTGGCATGGAAATGTATTTACATGGAAAATTGGTCAGCAAGGCAATCAGAATGGAAATTTGTTTAGCTAGATGAAATATGTGCACCAGAAAAATAAATAAAAAATAAAGATTGGGGTTAGCTGTGGCGGAGACGCCAGAAGTGCAAGTGCGAGAAACGCTATGGAAACTTTCCCAGCTCGGGTTATATTAAATATCCAAAGGGAAGGGGAAATTGTAAATTGAACATCCAGACAGGAAGATGGAAAAGTATTTTTGCTTAAAGTGAATACTTATGCTTGTAAAGGTCTGCAGGTTTTTTTTTTTCTTTTAAACTTTTGTCAAATAGCATTTTATATTTCCTTGAGGGACTGCCATGCCACTCATATTTTCCGTTATTGCATTGACTGGGATATTATGTTACATGAATGTACATGAAAAAGATCTGCAACTATAAAAATCAAGGTGGTCCAAAACATTCCAGAAGACTTGCTCCATGAGAATAGAAGAGATGGATGCATGTGCAGATGCAACGAGTTGAGCCCCTCAATTACATACAGTGAGGTGCAAACATTTGTGAACACATTGAAAATAATCTCTCTCTCTCTCTATGTAATGTTTATTTATTTGTTCAAATGCAAAATACGGAAATAAATAAATAAATAAAATAAAGTAATAAACAGGTGTATTATTTATTTATTTATTTTAAATTGTTTCATTTGTTTAAGTGCAAAACAGGGAAATAAATACAAAAAATGAAAATAATTTTACTGCTGATAATATAATTTCAAATGTTGTTATTTATGTATTTATTTGTGTGTTTGTTTTTTTGTTTTCAAGTGCAAAAGAAGGAAATAAATACACATATAAAAATTTATTAAAATAATTGTACTGCTGATAATATAGTTAAAAATGAAACATGTTGTATTTATTTATTGTTATCCAGTTTAATTGTTTTATGTGTTTAAATAGCAAAATAGGGAAATAAATAAATGCAAAAAATCAAATAAAATAATTGTACTGCTGATAATCTCATATAAAATAGAAATAGTTGTATATTTATTTATTTATATTTAATTTGATTTAAGTACAACAGATGGAAATAAATAAATAAATAAATAAATATTATTCTGCTGGTAATGTCATTTAAAATGAAAAATGCAAAGGAGAAGCATTTTTTGCTGGTGGTCTCTGGATCCCACTGTACAAATATACCAATTACACATGATAAAAAACAACATCAAAGTTTAATGTCATTCACTGAATTATTCACTATATATATTACCGTTTGTTTTTCACTCTTCATGCTCACAGTCCGTGGAAAGCAGAGCCAGCCACCAATCATTTAAGCTGTTATTTATAGCACTTCTCAACGGAGTCGTATAGTTGATGTGTAAATTGAGACTCTTCCTTTGGACATGGCCCCATAGCACGCTCAACTCTGACCCTGAGCCAAGGCCACTGTAAAGTTGAACTTGGTTAAGTCACACACACACACACACACACATAATTTACACACAGGCACACACATCCGCAGACAAGTGCAGAAGATTCAAATGGCAACCTTTAGCTGCCATTCTGGAACAGTTTTATATGCCCAAATCTGAACATGAATCGAAATGAAAGCAAATAAGTGAAAGGAAAACGGGGACAGCCAGTAGTCAGCTGATAGGTGAAGCCATCTAGTGGTTATGTGATTATTGGAGAAGAGTGAACAGCCAAGGTGAGGTTCCCATAGCCTTATCCAATGACCACAGCCCTGCCAGCACAATCCTGAGGTGCAAAAGGGCTGACTTACAGAATCTGAGCCAGTCACAACTAATCTTCAAGGCATTCAGGCAATCAGATGCTTCAACACATCAGTGCTTCACTATCAGAAGCCCTTTCTCAGGAGTATTCTGGGGAAGCTGTAGATAGATAGATAGATAGATAGATAGATAGATAGATAGATAGATAGATAGACAGACAGACAGACAGAATGATAGATAGATAGATAGATAGATAGATAGATAGATAGATAGATAGATAGACAGACAGACAGACAGAATGATAGATAGATAGATAGATAGATAGATAGAGACAACAAAAACCACAAGACTTACCAGTACAAGATGGAAACATCTGGACAAAACATTTTGAAACTTTATATAAAGAAATCCCTTCAAAACAACTCAATAGCAATTATGATCAGATCAAACAAAGTCTACAAACTTATGAAAACACACATACAAAAAAAAAAACTTCCCAATTACACATGAAAAATTGACAAAATAACTCAGAAGCCAAAAATGCAAAAAATCTTGTGGTCCTGAGTCTGACAGCATTCTAGGTGAAATGCTGAAACACAGCACACCTGAGCTTCAGACGGTTCAGGCTGTTTTCCTGACATCTGGAGCCAAGGACTTATTACCCCAATTCACAAAGAGTGGAGATAAATTGGACCCTAATAATTTCAGAGGCATTTGTGTTAGCAGTAATCTGGGGAAGTTATTTAGCAGTATTTTAAACAATATAATAGTGAACTTCCTTAACGAACACACAGTGTCCTGAACCTGAGTCAGATTGGCTTTCTTCCAAATCATAGAACTACTGTCCACATTTACACCCTACACACCCTAATCAATAAACACTTAAAACAGACCAAACACAGAAACATATTTGCATGCTTTGTCGATTTCAAAAAAGCATTTGATTCTCTTTGGCATGATGGGTTATATTACAAACCTGAACAAAGTGGTGTAGGGGTAAAGTTTATGACATTATAAAATTAGTGCATTGAAACAACGAATGTGCAATACGAATTGGCTATAAACATACACATGCATTTATTCATATATGAACAAATTCACAAATATCATAAAGAACTTTACTGCCATGACTGAATAGGAACAAATAAAGATAGTATTAGGAGAGGGACAGACAGCAGCACTGGCTGCGCGGTACAGTATGTGTGGATGTGCCACAGAGGGACAGCAGGTGAAGGTGTGTAGTGTGTGTATCGTATCTGACCTCAGTGTGTTACCCTACTGTACACCACAGTGACCCTCAGCATGTGTGTGTTTATGTGTTAAACACTGTGCTATCAAATGTTCACACATGTTCTAATTTGTTACACTATTTATTGTTATAATGTTTTCTTCTATTATTTTGGTATTTTCAATGTTATTATTATGTTTCTCCACATATTCCAAGCATTGGCAATATTACATGTTTTTTTTTACAGTCATGCCAATAAATCAATTTTGAATTTGAATTTGAATTTGAATTTGAATTTGAATTTGAATTTGATTGATAGATAGACAGACAGACAGACAGACAGACAGACAGACAGACGGACGGGCGGGCGGGCGGACGGACGGACGGACGGACGGATAGATAGATAGATAGATAGATAGATAGATAGATAGATAGATAGGCAGGCAGGCAGGCAGGTAGACAGATAGACAGATAGATAGATAGATAGATAGATAGTTTTGTCTTGTAATTTTGATTGTAGAGATTGTAAAAATATTGGTATACAGTAACTATTCAAGTAAGTTTAGCATAATATGCATGAATATTTCTTTAAAAATATTCAGAAAAGCAGTTTTGTTTGTTTATATTTGAAAAATGTTTGTCCAGTCAAAGTAAAACCAATGCATTTGGCAAGACATAAAACCGAGAGGACTCCAAAAAACGTGTTTTTTTTTTTTTAATATATAATCTTTTTTTTTTAGTTATGTATTGATGTATTTTTAATGTATACAAGCATAAAGAAAATATTTCAGTAGTTATTAACTAGTAGTTATCACTTGGCATTTTAGTCTCATTAAATAAAAAAAGGGTCAATAATTGTATAAATGTTTTTGAATTTAACACGAAGAGTACATTTCTGTAAGCTTGTCACTTATTTTAAACTAACATTTTTTTATTTATCTATCTATCTATCTATCTATATTATTATTATTATTATTATTATTATTATTATTATTTACATTTTATTTGTCATTGACCCTTATGAAAATGTACAAAATACAATAAATACACGCAATTTAATATACATGATATAGTACAATGCAATTTAGGAACAATACACGCACGATGCAACACAAGTGTGACGCGTAGATGGCGAGCGCAACTGTTGGGAGGAGAATAAAGTAATAGTTTGCACAGATTAAACATAAATTTAAGCTTTCCCCAGTTGAATATTAGACCAAAAGAAATGTAGTTTGCGATTAAAGCTTCGCGCACCTGCTTGAACAGTTACAGGACGCTGAAACATTGTGCGCAGAGCTGATGCATATTACTTGCGCATAATCACTGCACGCGCGTCTCCAAATGCCAAGCGCATGCACTCAAATAGTGAGAATGGGTGATTCACACACACACTGCGCCCTGTCCGGCCCCTAACCGGGGGCCCCGGTAATCGCGAAGCTCGCCAAATCACTTTCTCTCGTACCTTTCTGAAGAAGCAGTATGGAGTTACGTCACACCAGCGCGCAAAAGTGCAGGCCAAGCAAATAAGCCGCTGAGGAGCTATTTGTAGGCATTGCTGCCAAACCCGGGTAAGGCTGCTCACTCTTCTGCGATCAATGCTTTAAACCTGCTGTAGCACTAGAAACAGCATGCATTACTTTTCTGATTTATTCTGGAATGATTGTGTTTGGAGAGCTTGACCTGGATCCGTAGATGACTGGCGGCCGGTGCGCGCAGCAACGCAATTAGATCCAATTCAAAAAATCACATTCACAGACAACTCGTGAAGGAGCATGACATGATGATGATTCTGCATGGTTTAGCAGAGAGATTGTTACTTTCTATCACCACTTTCGATTAGATCTTTTTCTTCTTCTTCTTTGTGAAATCACCATGCCGCACTCTCGCAACAGGAACCCAAGTCCGATCCCAGAGGTGACATGGGACACGGGGTTGAAAGAGATGAACGAGACCTGGAAGGGGGCTATTGCTTGCTTGGGAGTTGCTGTCTTTTTTGTCATGACAATTGGGATCATTTATTGGCAAGTTGTGGATCAGCCCAACAAGAACTGGATCCTGAAGGGGAGCTTTAGTGGGCTTATTTGGGAGAGACGGACGCAAACTCTGGTCATACAGACACTAACTGAGGACAAGACCTTTGCGGAGATAGTCGTGGAGAACGTGGGGAACACCGATATTGAGGTTCCGTTCGTGAGGAACATGTGCTGGCTTAACAAAACCGAGTTCTGCTACACTTGGGATTCGGTCGCAGAGGTGAAGATATCTTTGGAATCAGATGAGGACTCAGATACCGAGTGTTACAGTGTAACCTGGACTCCAATTCACTGTCATGTGGACCTGAAGGTAAAAATGCCATTAGAACTTTTTTTAGAACACTTTTGAAAATATAGGCTATGTTCCAAATAGAACCAGACGTGTCATTGAGGAACCATTTTTAAGTTCCACAAAAAGAACTTGTATTCTCTTAAAAAAGAAAAAGAAAAAATCATCGTATTTGTTTCTGAAGAACCTTGTAACATGCAGAACTTGTATTCAAAATATTCAAGAGCCATAGCAAGAACCACCAAAATTGTATGGTGTGAAAATTTCTCGCACAGAAACCAAATAATCGCAGCCAAAGGTTAACTTAAAGACTGTTAAACAAAACACTACATTTTAATAAACTATTTATAATATACAAATCAGTAAGTGACAATGCTGATGTATTTGTTTTGTCAGTGACGATCCTAACAATAAGTACTTGCTGGAGTTGCCATGGTTACCGCTAAAACACGATTTTTGTTCGCTACGGTTTATTTAATCGCTCGTTGAAAATAATCGGCCTGACTACATTTTAATGTTTTTTTTTTTTTTTTAGGTTTCTGAAATGTTTGAAATCTCAATTGAAATATAGTCCTATATAAAAATATATACTTTTAAGACCTTCATATTTTTGTTTTGGCTTCATTTGGGGGGCTTCAGGTCCTAATTAAGTGTAAACAAACAATTATTTAATGGTTTCTTGTTTCAGTGTTACAAGGATAAACATTTGCAACTGTAACGTTTTTATTTATTATTTAATTGGTGGTTTTTATTTGACTTTAAATAGTTTTATTATTATTTTTTTTGTGGGGTTATATTGTTATTCATAAAAACGTATTTACTTTGCATTCGTACCTGCCAAAAAAAGTTTTTAAAGCAGGGTTTAAAGTTCACCAGACTAAAATGGCCACAAAGATACATTTCACAGATATCCGATAAGACAAGGTCTTTCTTTGTTCAGCAAGCACCTAATGCAGTTCGGAAGTTTTCTAGTTTAATCCCTTCATTTCCCACATTTCCTACCTCAGTAATGCTCTGTCATGTGTTATTTTAGATTTAAGCCTAAGAACTCTTTGTTCAGTCCAATCCTTTGACTTATAGGTATTCTGCACCTGTTTTCATGTGTTATGAGAGCCAAACGCTTCTTAGCTGGACGTCCAGATTTTGCTCACTAATGAAAACCTCATACAATCTATATGAAGAAACTCAAAAAATAAATGTATAATTAATACTTCAACTTGCAATAAATGATCTACCTATGGTATAGATGGACCATAACGATACATTTTAAGGATAGTCACCCTCTTTCTCTCTCAGGACTGTTTCTCCATGGTGAATATTTCGTGGTACGGAGGTGCCAGTGTCCATGCACCCAACTGGCCGATAAACGATGCCAACATTTCCATGCAGCCCTTCACAGTCAGTGACCTTAGGGACAACCCTTCTGGCTTCGGGTCAGTTTTAGAACGCTACTTCCTGGGATCCTCAGGTAAGCAAAGAGGAGCTCCGCGCCACTAACTGTCACCCCCTTAGCCAAATTTGGCCACCCTGCCCTTTCACACTTTGTTGACCAGTCCAAACATGCATTCACTTGTGACTATGTACACATTTCAAAACTGCCTCGGGCCTGAGATCACAGGGCTCTACTGTACATAGAGAGCGTAACACAATACGGATGGTTACTTCTGCTTGGTGAAAGATTGCAAAACAAAGGGCATCGGACTTGAGTCTGAACCCATTGGTATTTGTCAGCAGATGCCTGATGTTTATATCGAGAGTTAATTAGGCATCTCAGGCAGATTTAAATAAGCATTGTGTTTATGTCTGGCTGTTAGTTTGATTCGAGGCAGGGTGGGACATGGTTACGGACAGAGGCGTAGTGCATTAAAACATAAGCCACTCCAAATTTTCATAGTCTTGCAGTATTTAATGTGAAATAAGTCTACATCACGAAAAAGTGTGCAATCAAATTTTCATTTATTATTTATTTATTTTCTTTTTTTGTACTGTGTGAGAAGTATTCATGTTATAGGTTTTTATTGATATTATTGAATTTTATTGAATCCGTTTAACATTTAACTTGTATTGTTACAGAACTGTAACATAATACAAGGGTTAAATCTGCAGTGCCATAGCAAAGTTTATTTTATTGTATAGTGTCCTCCAATTCATGATGAAATGACCCTTGTGAAGAAGTGTTCATAAAAAAAGTTACCTCTTTGAATCAAATCCTGTTTAACAATCTCGCAGCATATTTTGAGTATTTAAGTGAAGTATTTAAGTATTTAATGAAACTTTAATCAGTGGTTATTAACATATGATTCAACCACACGGCAGAAACCAGAACTGCCGTTGACCTCCAGTATAGCGATGTGTCAATCCCTTTAGCTGGAAAAAGCTATATAATTCAAGCTTCCCAGATGCATGCGTCATTGACATGTGACGGAAGTTTGAAACCATCAAGACTCTTCCTAGAATTGACCATCTGGCTAAACTTCATCAGTCACTTTCAAACGAGTTCACAAACTGTGGTCCGTGGAGTGCTTTGGTCCATGAGTTGAACAAAAAACAAAATCTAATAATTCCAATTGACAAAGAATAACAACAGTGAATTGATTAACTAACCAACTTTGAACAATGAATTAAAAGAGTCACTCATTTATGTTCATTAGCTAAAAGTAACAGCATCTAGTTCATTTCAGTGAAACAAGACAGAAGCAGCAGTCTAGTCATATTATGGATCTGTAGCTCAAGACAGTGTAGAAATGGATGTCAAATGAGACCCCCAAATGGGATTTGGAGTGTTTGTAGAATTAATGTGGAAACAACATAAAGACAGTATATTTTTAATATTTGTTTAATGGCATCCACTAATACTACTGATGTCTCTATGAAATGTTTTCCCCCTAATATTTAATCACTGACTATAGGCATTCAACATTACAGTATAATTGAGAGCTATAAAGTTTAACATTTATTAGACTTTAAAAATAAACAACTTAATTTTTGAACATAAACAATCCTCACATAAACCCATTGTAATAAATGTCATATTTACCTGTGCCCTTCAGCAAGTAGGAAATATACAGAAATTGAATAAACACTAAATTCTAAATTACATATAGATGAATCCTTAAAGCTACAAAAGTGATTGATTTCCTCTTTTTTCTTTTGCTCTTTGATGATCAGACATCACATCAGCCGGGTTATTAGGTTATTTTGGCTGCTTTAAGAGCTGCTGCTGCTGAACATGATGCAGATCTGACACGTATCATATTTTCTCATAACTCTTTACCTTTTCTGGCCCTCTTCTGGTCTTAAAGTCTCTACTAATGAGCTGACGAGTTGAATCGGGTGTGTTAGATGAGGGAGACAGTGCTGGTGCTCCAGGACAGTTTTGAAAACCACTGCATTTCACAGACAAAACCGAATTGCAGTGGATTCCAATAGTAATTTGTGAAAGTTCCACCCTGGAGCATACAGGTGCTGTTGTTGTGCATCAGAAAAAAAAAAAGTTGTCTAAATTGTAACATTCAAGATTGATTCATGTTTGAATTAGAAATGAATGTGTTACTTTCCATTAAAAGTAATGGCATACCTACAGTAATAGGTACATTTTTACAGTGAGTAACACAACATTGTAACACATTACTCATAGTAGTCAAGTTTTCCAACACTGGTGGCAATAAGCTGCCACTAGTACTCACACTCATTGTGCAAACGTAGCACTTTTTGAGCCCCAAAAGTGTTTGACATTTTATATGTTCAGCAAATGGTTAATATATGTAACACAACACTGTAACACATTAGTAGTTAAGTTTCTTAACACATTTGGCAATAAGCTGCCACTACTACTCACACTCAAATTGCAAACGTAACATTTTTTTGAGCTACAAAAGTGGCAGCTTACCGGCATTTTTTACACATTTGGCAATAAGCTGCAACTAGTACTTACACTCAAAGTGCAAACTTAGCATTTTTTGGGGCTACAAAAGTGGCAGCTTACCAGCTTTGACATTTTATATGTTCAGTAAATGGTTAATATATGTAACACAACACTGTAACACATTAGTAGTTACATTTTTAACACATTTGGCAATAAGCTGCAACTAGTACTTACACTCAAAGTGCAAACTTAGCATTTTTTGGGGCTACAAAAGTGGCAGCTTACCGGCTTTGACATTTTATATGTTCAGTAAATGGTTAATATATGTAACACAACACTGTAACACATTAGTAGTTACATTTTTAACACATTTGGCAATAAGCTGCCACTAGTACTTACACTCAAAGTGCAAACTTAGCATTTTTTGGGGCTACAAAAGTGGAAGCTTACTAGCTTTGACATTTTATATGTTAAGTAAATGGGTAATATATGTAACATAACACTGTAACACATTAGTAGTTACGTTTTTAACACATTTGGCAATAAGCTGCAACTAGTACTTACACTCAGAGTGCAAACTTAGCATTTTTTGGGCTACAAAAGTGGCAGCTTACCGGCTTTGACATTTTATATGTTCAGTAAATAGTTAATATATGTAACACAACACTGTAACACATTAGTAGTTACGTTTTTAACACATTTGGCAATAAGCTGCAACTAGTACTTACACTCAAAGTGCAAACTTAGCATTTTTTGGGCTACAAAAGTGGCAGCTTACCGGCTTTGGCATTTTATATGTTCAGTAAATAGTTAATATATGTAACACAACACTGTAACACATTAGTAGTTACGTTTTTAACACATTTGGCAATAAGCTGCCACTAGTACTCGCACTCAAAGTGCAAACGTAGCATTTGTTTGGGCTACAAAAGTGGCATCTTACCGGCTTTGACATTTTATATGTTCAGTAAATGGTTAATATGTTCACTAAAGGGGCTTTGCGATGACCCCTCGTGCTTCGGACCAGCAGCCGTGCCTGTGAGGCTTGTGTGGGTGGGCAGCTGGTCTCTAAACATGGTTACCACTCAGAGCCAAGACACTCTCACACTCTCACAGCACCTTGTCACCCACGCACAATCCAGCAATTAATAACCCTATTTACTCAACACGGTCACACTGCTTTTTTCGTACAGCCGCATTATTTGCGCCCGCATTGGTGTCTTCCAAGTTTGTGTGTGAGCTTTCGGCAGCTGAAAGGTGAAAATGGTACAGAACAGAATTAGATTAAAGTGAAAGGGCATGCCATCAGCTAAGGTCATAATATTCGTCATGTGACATAAACAAAGGCTTTTATGATTTCCTAGATCATTGTTTGGCCCACTGAGCGTTATGCAACGGTGTGAGCAGTTTAACCGAAACGATCACATAATTTTGATCCATTTTCCACCTCGCTAGAGAACGGCCTTGATTTTGTAGAGACCTCTCAAACCCCTCTCTAATTGGCTCACTTTTAAGACAGAAATGTTGAGCTTCCTGCCAATGCAGCTGCCCCGGGTTGCCAAGTAACCGCAGACATATCTTGGTGTATAATGCCCAGTGGCATAACAATGACAATCATGTTGGCTCAGATTCGTAAGGCAACCCAGCAGCTGCCTGTGGCCACGGCTCTCGCCTGCTATTGGTCGGCGATGTGTTGATAATGGACATAATTGTTTTTCCTGAGTTGCTGTTCTGCAGCCAAATGGCATGTTGTTGTGCAGGCCTGTAAAACGAGCCCTCGGCGACCCGGTGCAAACCCAAAGGTAAACTTTTCAGCACTGTATATTTACATTTAGGCCTTGAAATCGGATAGTGGTTTTAAACAGGTTGGTGATGTGGAGCTTCGGTCATGCGATGTCTGTCAAATAGCTTTGTCCACTTTGTTGATGAGAGACATTATTGAAGTGTCCGGGCAAGTTGTGTCCTTTACTGGGTTCACTGACACTTGTGTCCAGTCCAACATGATGACTGAAAGAAACTTAAAGAGAAGGAGACATATTTAGATTTTGATGGTTTCCAAGTAGTGATTGTCCTCTTTTGTCTATATGTGATAACTTGACCCATGTTAGCTATATGCACCAAAAATAAAAATAAATACATGTATTTAATAATAATCAGTTAATTAATTAAATGTATTTAATTATCAAAACTCTAAAAAATTTGTTGTAAATAGACACTGACACGGTCAAAACACGAAATTTCACTCTTTCAGTCAATTATTGTGGCTTTCCAAAACTGTTGCGGACAAAATCTAAATTAATTAATTAAAATTAATAACACACATACATGCAACAAAATATGATGAAAAAATATGATCTTGTTCACAATTTTCCCTGTTTATACTTAAAAATGTCAGTGAAATGTTTTTTGTTTGTTTGTTTGTTTGTTTCCTTGTCTGCTGCGTTTCAGTAGTAAAGGGTCTGGAAATGTGCGTTCTTGTGGTGTCGTGTTGTCTTGATGTAATTCTTTTGGGCTCAAAAATGATTAGTTGAATGGAATTTAATTTATGCTTCTGGTAATTTTTTTTTGTTTTTTGACCATTCACCTAAACAGAGTTTCCCAAA